TGACATCAAATATCCATTGTCGTCCTCGCCCTACATGGACAACAATATGCCTCCAGGTTATGCCCAAGAAAGACGAAGAAAGAAAGAACAGTTTTATGCCTCTACTCATGTTCCTCTTAAACTGGTACAGGCAGTCCTCGATTTACAACCACAATCGAGCCCAAAATCTCTTGTTGTTAAGCGAGATGTTTTTTAAGGGTGGGGTTTGCCCCGTTTTACGACTTTCCTTGCCACCGTTGTTAAGTGGATCTGGTTTCCCCATTGACTTTGCTCGTCAGAAGGTCCCAGAAGGGGATCACATGACCCCGGGACACTGCGACCGTCATAATAAATATGAAATGACTGACAAGCGATTGAATTTTGATCACCTGATCATGGGGACGCTACAAAGGTCGTAACTATGAAACGTTACGGTCATAAGTCACATTTTTCAGTGCTGTTGTAACTTTGAACAAACTAAACAAATTACTGTACCTCAAGAACCACCTGCATTACCTTTGACTCCGGAAGCAATATACATGACCTAGTGAGATTGTCTGTGAGCGCTTGATGGCCTCTTTTTCCTTAAATCTGGCTGATGCCTTCTTTAAAAAGTCAAGAGTTGGCTGCCTTTTTTTTCCATGGTCCAAAAACTTTGCAACGTGAATGCATATGCAAAAATTTGTTCCTGGGCTGACACCTGGAAGAGGAGAAGTTTGCTTTGGGAGGAAGGCTTAAAACTCATTTTGTTTGTGGTAGGCAAATATGTAACCAAACCAGTATACATGAGTAAACTTCCTGGAGCCACATAGGATGTGCTGGGGGTATAGCTCAGCGGTAGAGCATTTGACTGCAGATCAAGAGGTCCCTGGTTCAAGTCCGGGTGCCCCCTCTTTTTTTTTGTTTTTTTCCCCAAAAAGGATTTTAACTTGATTTGTTTCCTTTTTAGAATTGGTTTAATCCTAGCAACATAGTAAAATTAGGAAAGCCAACTTGTAACCAAAAACGTGGCTTTTCCTATATACCTCATGGACCAATATCATGGTTAGTAATTATGGCGTTTAAGCACGACCTGTCTATGTATCGTTTCATGAAAAGAGATGTATCAATTCCATAAGAAATATTCAGTAGCAATAAAAAAAATAATTCGGATTGTGAGTGGAAAGGACTGAAATACCAATTGACTTCTTTTTTCAACGAAGCCAAAAAGAAAGCTAGATTTTGAAAATCAATTTTACCAAAATGATATTAAACTTTTCCCCAACCTTTTTACCGCCGTTGGTAAATGATCAAAACATTGTTAATAGGGTACTTTAATTCAGTTTCCAAATTTTAAAAGAGTTGGCAGGATTGTGTTTTATTTAGTTGAGCTTTAAACTGCATTGCTAAATCATTTTCTATTAGGAAAGAGTCCGTGAAATTGTGAAATTGCACTGTTTAGAATAGTCCCATCCCTTATAGGTATTCTTGCCTTAAATTCCTCTAATTTCTAGACTTGTGAGCACCCAGAAGGGGGGTACAGGTAGTCCTCAACTTAACAACCACAATTGATCCTAACATTTCTGTTGCTAAGCGAGACATTTGTTAAATGAGTTTTGACCCATTTTACGATCTTCCTCGACACAGTTGTTAAGTGAATCGCTGCGGTTCTTAAGTTAGTCACACCGTTGTTAAGTGAATCTGGCTTCCCCATATGACTTTGTTTGTCAGAAGGTCGCAGAAAGGAGATGACATGACCCCTAGGACACTGCAACCGTCATAAGTATGAGCCAGTTGCTAAGCGTCTGAGCTTTGATCAGGGACCATGGGGATGCGGCAATGGTCGTAAGTGTGAAAAATGGTCACAAGTCAAGTTTGAATGGTCACTAAATGAACTGTTGTAACTTGAGGACTACCTGTACAATGCTGTCTGAGTTATAGCTCTGTTCTCTGTTGGCCTTGGATTTTAGCTTGGATTTTTTTTTCAGTCCTTATGTTCCCATGTATAAGGGCAATAATCAGGTACTGAAGCGATTGGTTCTTTTGGATCCAATAAGCACACCAGTAAATAAAGAGATTTTAAGCTTTATTTAAGCTAAAAGAAACAGATTGAAAGGCATAATATACAAAGCATACATACCAACCAAAATAATACTCAAATCTCTTACAAACTGCCAGGAACTCCTTAATAAAAACAACTATAGAGATTTTATTATTAATATTTTTGGAGGGTGGCCAGTTTATACAATTCAGGTAATCCTCAAGTTCCAACAGTTTATTTAGTGACTGTCCAAAGTTATAACAGCACTGAAAAATAGGACTTATGACCGGTTTTTGACACAACCATTGCAGTGTCCCCGTGATCATTTGATCAAAATTCAGACGTTTGGTGACTGACTCCTATTTATGACGGCTGCAGGGGTCCTGTGATCCCCTTTTGCGACATTTTGACAATCAGAATCAATGGGGAAGCTGTGAGTAACTTAACAACTGCAATGATTCACTCAGCAACTGTGGCGAGGAAGGCCGCGAAATGGGGCAAAACTTAGTTAAGAAATTTTTCACTTCGTAACAGACACTTGGGGCTCAATTGTGGTCGTATGTCAAGAACTACCCGTACTCAAATGTCTTAAAAACTGCCAGGAGCTCCTTAATAACAAAAACAATAATGTATTTTATTTTTTGGCGGGGGCAGCCAGTTTGCACAGTATCTATTGCTAGGTTCCGTGCAGAAACTCCCCGCAAACAACAGAATTCCTACCGTATTGATCATGACCTGACACCAGAATGTCATGGTCCTGCTACAGTCAGGAGACTGGAAGACCTGACCTTCACTGACTGGCACCTGGCTCCAGGTGGAAATCGAAAGCCTGAGACTTTCACAGCTTTGAAGTTACATGATATTTACACACACACACACACACACACAGAGAGAGAGAGAGAGAGAGAGAGTGAGAGAGAGAGAGAGAGAGAGAGCGCCTTCTCCTTTGTTCAGCAACCAACCAAGAGTGTAAACAAGCAGGCTAGCTCAGAATGAGCTCGAAACTTCTAGACTTTTCTTAATCTGAAGGAGAAATCAAAATAGGCCATCCACTCCTCACAGTAACCATGGCCTTTCTGCATTGCCATATTGTAGTTTAGTTTATGTTTAGTTTATTTGATTTATATACCACCCTACTCCCGAAGGACTCAGGGCGGTGAACAGCCACAAGATAAAAAACACATAAATACAAAATTTAAAAACAGAATTAAACAATTTGGCTGAAGACAGATTTAAAACACCCCAATAAATTAAAAACGAATTAAAATTTGCGTTTTAAAAAGGGAAAAATTAGGCTAGGCCAGCCTGATGGAATAAAAAGGTATTGAGAGCGCGGCGGAAGGTGCATAGATCCAGGATCCTCCGTATTTCCGGGGGGGAGCTCATTCCAGATAGTAGGTGTCCCCACAGAGAAGGCTTTCCCCCTGTGGGCCGCCAGCCGACATTGTTTGGCCGACGGCACCTGGAGGAGCCCCTCTCTATGAGAGCGTACCGGCCGGTGGGAGGCTACTGGTGGCAGCAGGCGGTCCCGTAAATAACCAGGTCCTAAGCCATGGAGCGCTCTAAAGGTGGTAACCAAGACCTTGAAGCGCACACGGAAGACCACCGGGAACCAGTGCAGCTCACGCAGGAGAGGTGTTACATGGGAACGCCATGTCGCTCCCATAACCACCCGCACGGCTGCACTCTGCGCCAGTTGGAGCCTCTGGGTGCTCCTCAAGGGGAGCCCCATGTAGAGAGCGTTGCAGTAGTCTTGCCTCTTTGGTTTTTTTTTTACTAAATCACCAAAATCTTGCCTGATGTAAGATTTATAACATGTGAAAAGAAGCTTTATCCCCCACAAAAGCTTGGATATCCATATTTGGGGAATTGGTAACAAACACCAGGTAGAAGAACAGAGGCCAGATTGCATTAAAATGTCTTGAAGAATATAATTAACCTTTCTCTCCTTGATTAGTTTCCATCCATTGCTTCTTGTCCTGCCTTCAGGTGCTTTGGAGAATAGGTTGACCCCCTCTTCATCTTCTTCTTTTTTTGAATTTTTTTTTATTTAAAACAAAAACAAAACATAAAACCGCCATCATTCAAATACAATCACAGACAGTGTGTCGATCGGTTAAAATTCTTTTGTGCACAATCCCATATCCAAAATTACCAATTATTTAATTTCTCTTATTTTACAGTTTTATATATCCCTTCATATTATTATATTCATTTAACCATTATTTTACAAAGGCTTAACTCCCAGAAGAAAACACTTCATATATTTTATCATTACATTAATTTCATTTTTCATATTCATATTTTATTACCTAGCCATTGGTAGAACAAATCCCAAATCAAATAATATTGTTTATCTTCCTGTTCTCTAATTTCAAATGTCAATTTACTCATTTCAGCACAGTCCATAATTTTCTTAATAACTTCATCATCAGTAGGTATCTTCTCGCCTTTCCAATTTTTAGCAAAAACAATTCTAGCCGCTGTTAAAACATTCACAATTAAATATCTCAGTTGTTCGTTATACATTTCTGGTAAAATCCCTAATAAAAATATCTCTGGTTTAAAGTCAATGTGTTTGTCATTTTTTCCAACCATGTGTGGATTTTAGTCCAATATCTTTTAGCTTCTGCACATGTCCACTACATATGGTAATGTGATCCTGGAGTCTGATGACATTTCCAACATTCCTCCGATTTGTTGACCCCCTCTTCTTTTGTGGCAGTCCTTCAAATACTGGAACACTGCTACCATGCCACCCCTAGTCATTCTTTTCATTAAACTTCACACATCCCAATCCCTGCAACCATGCTTCATATGTTTTAGACTCCAGCCCCCTAATCATCTTTGTTATTCTTTGCACTTTTTCCAGAGTCACGGCATCTTTTTAATATTGTGTTGACCAAAACTGGATGCAGGATTCCAAATACGGTCTTACCAAGGCATTATAAAGCACTACTAACTTGTTTTTCATTTCTCCTGTCTTCTCATCCTCTCACAGATTTGCAGCTAAGCTCATTGCGGGTGTGCTGGATTTCAAGGCAAAGATTGACCGGTGAGTAAGTTACTTTGGATCTACTGGCCCAGTACGGGGGATATCCACGCAAATTGAAACCCACTGGGCAAATCTGGAAGACAAATTCTATCTCCAGTGGAAATTAGAAGAGGAAGTTGGTTGCGGTGGCACAGTGGTTAGAATGCAGTATTGCAGGCTAACTCTGCCCATTGACAGGAGTTTGATTCTCACCAGGCTCAAGGTTGACTCAGCCTTCCATCCTTCTGAGGTTGGTAAAATGAGGATCCAGATTGTTGGGGGCAAATATGCTGACTCTGTAAACCGCTTAGAGAGCGCTGTCAAGCACTGTGAAGCGGTATATAAGTCTAAGTGCTATGGCTGTTTTGCCTGGGAAGAGCATGGGACCCTTCTTGGGGAAGCCTGAATGGGTCAAAAATGGTAAATGGCTCCAGATGTGCCTGTGATTCCCAGGGACAAGGAGACTTTGGGTGTTGCTGCTCCTGGGTGAAGAACAGAGTGGACTGGGAAGAGGGTGGCAGCTGGCAGAGTCAGAAAGTTATAGTTTCCTTTTTTTTCTGTACTCTCAAATGGACTATTTCAGGGGTTGGGGGCAGGGGTGAAATTCTACCGGTTCACTCCAATTCGGGCGAACCAGTAGTGATAAAAACTACCAGTTCGGGAGAAGCAGTAGTAAAAAAATGCTTTAAAAAGTAAAAAAAAAAAAAAGATACCGATGATCACAGCTGTGCTGCGCGATCGTGGGAATCTTTTTTTTAAACTTTTTTAAAGCATTTTTTACTACCTATTCACCTAAACAGGTAGTAAAAAAAATGCTTTAAAAAAGTAAAAAAAAAAAAAAAAGAGGTTCCAATGATCACGCAGCACAGCTGGTAGGTAGTAGAAAAATGCTTTAAAAAAGTTAAAAAAAAAAAAAAAGGTTCCGACGATCAGCTGTGCCGCAGGATGGTGGGAACCTTTTCATTACTTTTTTAAAGCATTTTTTTACTACCTGTTCGGGCAAATAGGTAGTAAAAATGCTTTAAAAAGTTTTTTTTTTAAATTGGCCATGCCCACCCAGTCACATGACCTCCCCCATCAAGCCACACCCACAGAAACTGTAGCAAAATTTTTTGCATTTCACCACTGGTTGGGGGTTCTCGTGTTCCCCAAACTTTTATCTTCTGGCTTACCTGTGCAAGTGGAGAACAATCAAACCTTCCAGACCAGATATGTTTCTCCTCCTTTCACGACTGCCCAGAGGGCCAGAGTGCACAGAGATGAAGGTCACCCCCAAGCAAAATAAACCTGTGCTTTGGACCCCAAGGGGAAAGGGGGCACCCTAGAGTTCTCCCCCTTCCCCAGCTATCATACACTTAACTCTTTCCTTTCCACACTGCATTTATAGCCAATTGTTTTGGAAGCGGTCTTCAACTTTAACCGGCCTTGTTCAAAATATCTTCTTTGGCACAGTAAAAGTTTGGTTTGCAGGTTTTGGCAACGTCACTTTTTTTTCTGTCTGATGGCATCCCAAATTTTGCTTCTGTGCTAGACTAGAAGTGGGAAGACCTGGGTTCTTGTTCTCCTCTGAGCCACAGAAACTCTCTGGGAGAAGTACCATATTTTTCAGAGTATAAGACGCACTTCCCCCCCCCTAAAAGAGCGTGAAAATTTGGGTGCGTCTTATACATCGAATGTAGCTAAAACACGAGGCACAGAGGAGGCGATGGTCGATGGCAATACCAGGGGGTATTGCAGGGGGTATTTCAGGAGGCCGATTCACCCGCCAATCAGCTGCTCATGCTGAATCAGGCTGCAATAATATGCTGAAGCTGACCTGGCTGTTCGCTATTTGTTGCAAGGACTGTCAGAGTTTGCAGAGCAAGCAAAACACAAGCAGAGGAGAGGAGTTTCAGTTTTAGTTTCAGAGATCAGCACAGCATGCAGCTTTAGAATACGCCCAGGCTCCTTGCTGTCTCCTTCCTTGTTGCTCACACAGCAAATACTGTTTCAGTTTCCAAACAGTCTCACACACTGACAGGACACTAGCCAGATGAATACTGATGGATGCTGGTAGGCAGAGGCAGAATTTTTTTTCTTATTTTCCTCCCCCAAAAGTAAGGTGCGTCTTATACTCTGGAGCGTCTTATACTCTGAAAAATATGGTAATTCATTCATTTTATTTGAACCAGAATAACAGAGTTGGAAGGGACCTTATAGGTCTTCTAGTACAAGCCCCTGCTCAAGCAGGAGACTATACCAGGCCTGTCAAACTGGTGGCCTGTGGACCGGATACAACCCGCAGAGGCCACACCGGCCCCAGCTCCGCAAAGGCAAAAAACATCCCGATACGGCCTGCTATGTGATCGGGTTTGACACCCCTGCTCTATACCATTTCAGACAAGTGGTTGTCCAGTCTCTTTTTAAAAACCTCCAGTCTTGGATCACCGACAACTTCCCGAGGCAAGTCGTTCCACTGATAAGTTGTTCTCACTTTTAGGAAATTCCTCCTTAGTTCTAGGCTGCTCTCAATTAGTTTCCACCCATTGCTTCTTGTCCGGCCTTCAGGTGCTTTGGAGAATAGATTGACTCCTTCTTCTTTGTGGCATCCCCTTAGATATTGGAACCCTGCTATCCTGTTACCCCAGTCCTTCTTTTCATTAAACTAGACAGACCCAATTCCTGCAACTGTTCTTCATATGTTTTAGCCCCCAGTTCCCTAATCCTCTTTGTGACAGGCCTGGAAACCATCTTGGGCATTGGATCTTCAGGCCTGCCACATTTAATGCAGTGGGAAATTGGGAGGGGGGATTGTATAGAACTGGGGAGTTACGTAGTCAAAATAACATTCTTTTCTCCGAGAGTCAAGGGCACTCTTCCCTGCACCTCGAGGGGTGTGACTGGGAGTCATCTCCAGTTGGGATGGTGCATTGATTGGACAATGTGATGGACATCTGGGTGCTGGGGCAGGAACTTGGGCTTTCTTTTGGGTGGGGAAAACCCGGAAGGTTTCAGATTCGGGTTTTCCCAGATGTGCCAATATGACATCTCTAATAAAATGGAACTTTGAGGAAACTCGAGCCTCGGAGTTTTCTTTCATTGGGGGTGTTACTTGGAACCCTGACATTTTGTTGCTCTTCTCTGCACTCTTTGCAGCCTTTATATAGACTTTGGGCCACTCCATCCTTCCTAGCCAACCTAGTTCAAAGGGGGGGAAATTGAATTCTAAGGCCTGTCTTCAACTTCTGGATGAAAAAGGGGGCAAAAGACTGTCAGAAATTCATATGCAGGTATGCCCACGGCTTTCTTGTGGACTGACATTGAGAGAGAAAGCTGATTTGTTACCTATTTCTTTCCATCCACCATGGCAGCCAGACCCTGCTAGTTGAGTATTCCCACGGTCACCCTCTCAGCATGGACTGCTATTCTCGCCTCTTTGCCTCTTGCCGACTTCCTGGACGAAAACGTGACACTATTTTACTGCCTCCACCTGGACGGAAACCCCCAAATTATATTACCGTTGTTCGCAACTTCCAGGTAAAATACCTTCATGTTGGTCCAACCTTTGATCCCTGGATCTGTTGGGAGCAATTCTTGGGGGGGGCCTGAATAGAAGACCCCATATTTCTTTACTACTACATAAGAAAAAGAGATAAAATACTATTTTAATATTTTAAAAGTGCAATCTTCTAGTTCAGTGTTGACGCGTAATTGGAGACATCCAGATTCTAGTCTCCTTTCAACCACGGAAATCCCCTGGAATACTTTGGATCAGTCACGTGACATCTTAATCCTCTTAATCCACTGTACCCCATAGAATTGTTTTTGGATACCATGGAGTGCAGTTTGGATGCCCCCTTAAACTCCCGAATGAAGAGGGGTATATAAATCTAATGCAGTCATTAAGGTATATCATGGTTATAGGATTGGAGGCAGCGTGCTAAGGTCCAGGAATGTGAAGCTCCTGTGAGGCCCCCCCTCTCCTTTCAGAAACCGCTGTGGTAGGTGATCTTAGAGTAAGGGTCTCCAAACTTGGCAACTTTAAGACATGTGGATTTCAATTCCCAGAATTCCCCAGCCACCATGGCTGGCTGGGGAATTCTGGGAGTTGAAGTCCACAAGTCTTAAAAGTGTGGACTTCAGACATGTGGGCTCACTTCAAGATGTGTGGACTTCAGTTCCCAGAATTCCCATGCTGGCTGGGGAATTCTGGGAGTTGAAGTCCACAAATGTTATAGTTGCCAAGTTTGGAGACCCCTGCCTTAGAGGAAGGATACAGGTTGTTCTGGACTTACAACTGCAATAGAGACTGGAAAATTCATTAAGTGATGCAGTCATTAATTTGAGGTATCACATGACAGCACCCAACTTTATGACCTGTTTGCCGTGTCTGTTAACTGAGATGCCAGGCGACCATGACTTATGACGTTCACTGCCTGCTTCCCCATTGACACTGCTTGTCGGAAGTCAGCTGGGAAAATTGCAAATGATGATCACCTAGGACATTGGGACCATATATATGTACAACGGTTGCCAAGCACCCAAATTGTAATTATATGACTGCGGGGATGATGCGACAGTTATAAATGCAAGTTGGTTTTTTCCAGTTGTTAAATGAATTGCCATAACTCAAGGACTACCTATATAGCAGTACTCAGGGCCTTTGGATGATAGAGGGTCATTCTAGGTTCTTAGGTCCCTGGATGGGTGTGAACCCCAAAACATTTGGGGACTTTCTCAAAGAAACCAGAAGTGAACAGCTCCTTAGTGTAATGGGTACCCCTCACTTCTCTGCTTAAGATAGCCTTTATTGTCATTTTTGTGCGTGGGCACCTTAGCACAAATTAAAAGTGAAATTCTGTTGCCTGCTCTCAAAAGTGTACGCATACATAATACCCATCGAGACATGCTATATACATACATATCAGTGGTGGGTTGCTCCCGGTTCGCAAGAACCGGTAGTAATAATTTGTAATAGTTCAGAGAACTGGTAATAACATTGGCTGGCTAAGCCCCCGAACCGGTCCCCGGCCTGATTGCTGCTCGCTTACCCCGCCCACCTCATCAGAGGCTTCTTTTTTTTTAACTTTTAAAAGCATTTTTTCTACAACCTCTTCGGCTGAAAAATTGCTTTTAAAAGTAAAAAAAAAAAAAGCCTCTGATGATCGCGTGGCTCAGCTGAGATTGTCAGAGGCTTTTAAAAGCATTTTTTTCTACAACCTCTTAAGGTTGTAGAAAAAATGCTTTTAAAAGTAAAAAAAAAAAAAAAGTTGGTCACGCCCCCCCCCTCCCACCAAGCCATGCCCACAAAAGAAGCCACGCCCACAGAACCGGTAGTAAAAAATTTTAGAACCCACCCCTGATACATATGTATATACCTACACCCTAACTAATACATATAAATATTGATCACTGTCCATCTTGAATACATAGCGGAAAAAGGAAAGTTGAGAGTTCACGAGGTTGATACTGTATGGAACAAAACTGTGGCTGAATCTGGATGTTCTGCTTCGGATACCACGAAGCTTCCTCCCAGGAGGTTAACAAGGAAAACAGGTTGTGAAGAGGATGTGTAGCGTCCCAGACAATCCTGCAGACTCTGCTCAAGCATCGCTTATCTGCTATGTCCTGGATAGCAGCCAATAATCTTTTCTGCTGTCCTCACCACTCTCTGCACCGCCTTCCTGTCTGAAGCCGTAATGCTTCCAAACCAGGCTGTCATGCAATAGGACAGGATGCTCTCGATCGTCCCTCTATAGAAAGTGGTAAGGACAGGTGAAGGAAGATGAACTTTTCTCAGGTGACACAGAAAATGCAAGCTCTGCTGTGTCCGCTTCACCACTGTCTCGCTGTTGAGCGACCAAGCTAACCTACTTGTTAGCTGCACCCCCAGAAATTGGATGCTGCTAACCATCTCCACAGGTGAATCATTAATACACAAGAGGTGTGTGGCTGTGCCTGCCTTTTCTGAAATCGACAATGATCTCTTGAGTTTTTCCATTGTTTAAAACAAGGCTGCTTAAGAAAAACACTAGCAAACCCTCAACCTCAGGGGTCAGCAACCTGTGGTTCTGGAGCCGCACGTGGCTCTTTCACCCCTCTGCTGTGGCTCCCTGTCACTCAAAATATGCGTCGCAACTGCCAATGTGTGACACCCGCTGGCACACGATTTATTGAGCTTTTCAACCCCCGGTAGGCCAACCATGGATAAATCCAAGAAAAGTTTCAGAAGAAAACAGAACGTTTAATTCAACTACATATGCTAGTTTTGTGGCCGCTCCAGAAATAGTCAGGCATGGGAAGGGTTTTGTGGCTCCTGGTGTTTTCTTTTCCGTGGGAAATGGATCCAAATGGCTCTTTGAATGTTTTAAGGTTGCAGACTCCTGCTCTACCTCCTTGCGATAAGCATCCTTATTGTCATTCTTTGTTCCTTTCTCAGTTCTTCCAGCTTGAAGTATACAACAGTGATGGGACACCGCTGACCATCGACCAGCTCTATCTCCAGCTCCTAAAAATCCGCTCCTTTTCTTGGAAGTTGGATAAAGAGCCCTTGGGAGTCCTCACCAGTGACCACCGACATACCTGGGGAGAAGCCTTCACTAGTCTCATGAAAGGTATGGGGAGCCACGTTTTGGTAGGTAGAAGTTATGGGCCTTCGATCATCAAGCCTCCATGCAGGAATCCAGATTAAAGTATCCATGTTAGATGGCTGCTCATTCTCCATTTTGAGGGAAGGGGAGCCCTGCCTCTCAAGGTCCTCTGTCAAAGTGCTCCTAATTTTATTATCTTGCCATTCCCCAGTGACTGGATCGAGATGTAACAAATGGCTTCTTTAAAACACATTAAGGCAGGGGTGTCAAACACGATTTCATTGAGAGTCGTATCAGGGATGTGTTTGACCATGGATGGTCAGGGGTGGTGGTGGCCGGAGTTGGGCATGACCATGGTGGCCGTTTGACTTTCTTTCCACAGTTCTTTACTATAAAGAACTACTCTCTCTTCTATCAGATATTACTGGCAAACATTTATTACTTATTCTTCATATTCCACTAAACTTTCTATTTCTAAATTTATACCCCATTGTTTAAAAGTAAATTGCTTTTCCAGGCAGAAAAGCTATTTATACAATTGTATTTTTATTATTCAACTAATAATAAAAATACAATAGCATAAATAACATAATATAAACTCTTAACAGCAGAGGTAAATTTCCAGGACAGTAAATAGAAATGGCTGTCAATTATAGATAGACAATAGAATACAGAATAGATTGCTGATTGTAGATTAAATGGACCTACAGTATGTAAAATCTGGCATTAAACTATAGTATTACCATAGGATGTTGCTTGTTTTCAATCCAGATCAGACGCTTACTTGAGGCCACATACCGTATTTTTCAGAGTGTAAGACACACCTTTTTCCCCCCTAAAAGGGGGTGAAAATTTAGGTGTGTTTTATACACCAAATGTAGCCCCGCCCACCCACTGGCCCCCACCCTTTGGCCTCTGCCTCCCAACAATTTAACTCCTTGCAGCAAGAAGAAACAGCTCGTTTCAGCTTCAGCACAGTCTAATTAGTACAAGTTGATTGGATTGGCCTCCCGACTCAGCTGTTTTGTGCGGGCCTCTGCTGCTTGCTGCAAGGAGGTAAATTGCTGGGAGCAGATTTTTTTTTCTTGTGCTAATCAAGCTATGCTGAAAACAAAAATGAAAGTAAAGCAAGCTATTTGCTGTTTGCTGCAACGAGACAAAATTGCTGGGAGGCAGAGGCAGATTTCTTTTTCTTGTTTTCCTCACCAAAAAAGGTAGGTGCGTCTTATAGTCCGGAGCGTCTTATAAAACTATATGTTTTTATGCCAAGAATTCAAACCTGCTGTTTATTTTTTGGAACTGTACGACGTTTAGCTTAGTAAATCCACGTCTGATCATACACCCCGCAAAAATCTCTTGTAACCCAAACGCTGTTAATTTTATCTCCTCAAAATTACACCTTGTGCTACAAAAATTAAAGTTTATTTTCCTGAATGAATCTTACCTAGCTAAGCAAAATAATAATAATAATAATAATAATCCATGCAATCCATAAACTAACATCAGAAAGCAATGATCTGAGTTACAAAATTGTTTAAGGGACTTTCGTCAAGTCTTGATTTGATTCGACATCAGTCGCCGACTTGCTTCTTGGCCTTTGATATGACCCTCACGTTTCTCATCGGCTTGTTACCTCTGTGACCTGTTTCACACCTCTCTCTATTGATTGGGAATGACAGGGCCACTGTGGTACTTGCATTTTTCCCTCAGTGAACTTCTTTATTTCTGCTGTAGTCAGTTTGCATGTCAAACGTGGCTCATATACATCTTCAGACCAGTCAATCAGGATTAAACATTTGATGGGAGGGTACAGTGTAGTCATATTAAATATACCGTATTTTTTGGACGATAAAACCCACTGGAGTATAACACGCACCAAGATTTCGAAGAGGTAAACAAGAAAAAAAAAAGGTTTTGCCCTTACCGGCTCCCAGGAGCACTCTGCAGGCCTCCCAAACCCTCTGCGCCAGTGGTGGGTTGCCCCCGGTTCGGACCAGTTTGCAAGAACTGGTAGTAAAACCAGCCGGAGGCTCCACCCACTGACCCCGACGTCATCAGGAAGCTTCTGTGTATGCGCAGAAGTGCAAGCGAAGTGAGCCCACGAGCGGGGCCCCGTTGCAAACCGGTAGTAAAGGTAAGTAGAACCCACCCCTGCTTTGCGCGTCCCATTTTTGTGAAAAATGGGATGTGTAGAGGGTTTAGGAGGCCTGCAGAGTGCTCCTAGGGGCTGGGGAGGGCAAAAACGTGCATGGGGGGTTTGGGAGGCCAAAAGCGGGTTTGTTTTTTGCAAGAACGGGGCCTGCAGAGGGTTTGGGAGGCCTGTAGAGTGCTCCTGGGGGCTGGGGAGGGCCCCCGTTTCTGAAAAAAAATGGACCCGTTTTTGTGAAAAACGGACCTATTTTTGGCTTACCACACGTGTCATGTTTTTGCCCTCCCCAGCCACCAGGAGCACTCTTTCTACGCATCCCGTTATTGCAAAAAACGGGCCTGTTTTTGACGAAAACGGGACACAAGGGGCGGGGGTTCAGGAGGCCAAAAATGGCTGTATTTGGTATATAAGACGCACCAACATTTTCACCCTCTCTTAGTGGGCGGGGGGCAAGGTGCGTCTTATACTCCAAAAAGTACAGCATGTTCAGTTTACTTTAATTTTAACTATATGTAAATGAAAAAAGGAATGAAGTCAGGTTAATTTTTTTTAAGGTTGCACCCCGTTTTCTGACCCCCTTTCCCCCTCCAGAGAATGAATTTGAGCTCTGTCCTGTGCTACAACACAACTATGTCGGGAATTAAATCTGGCGTTTCTTGTTCCAGACAAGCTGAACCAGGAATCGGCTCTCAAGATCCAACGTAGCCTCTTCACCGTCTGTCTGGATGCCCCTATCTTGAAGGTGTCCGATGCCCACGTCCAAAGCCGTTTAGCAGCTCAGATGTTGCATGGTGGAGGAAGCTACTCCAACAGCGGCAATCGCTGGTTTGACAAGACGCTGCAGGTGAGAATCAAAGCAGGACGTGAATTAGGCTTCAGTTTGGAAGCGTAAAGACATATGATCCTCAGTTGTACAGTAATAAATAAAAGTAAGGTTAAAAAGATATAGATAAAAGTAAGGTTCTACACTTAGGTAAGAAAAAAAACCCAACTATACAAGTATAGATTAGGTGAAACTAGGCTCAATGCCAGTAACTGTGAGAAGGATCTTGGAGTCTTAGTAGACAACCACTTAAATATGAGCCAACAGTGTGCGGCAGAGGCCAAAAAAGCCAATGCATTCCTAGGCTGCATCAATTGTGGGATAGAATCAAAATCTTGTGAAGTTCTAGTAGTTCTACGAAGCCTTAGTAAGACCACACTCTGGTCATCACAATACAAAAAGATGTTCAGACTTTGGAAAGCGTGCAGAGTAGAGCAGCAAAACTGATTAGAGGGCTGGAGGCTAAAATGTACGAAAAAACAGAGGAATTGGGTATGTCTAATCTAATGGAAAGGAACGTGGTGGCTCAGGGGCTAAGATGCTGAGCTTGTCAATCAGAAGGTTCGAATCCATAGTGCCGCATAACGGGGTGAGCTCCCGTTACTTGTCCCAGCTTCTGACAACCTAGCAGTTCGAAAGCACGTAAAAAAAAATGCAAGTAGAAAAATAGGGACCACCTTTGGTGGGAAGGTAACAGCTCTCCGTGCGCCTTCGACGTTTAGTCATGCCGGTCACATGACCACGGAGACGTCTTCAGACAGCGCTGGCTCTTTGGCTTTGAAACGGAGATGAGCACTGCCCCCTAGAGCTGGAAACAAATAGCACGCATCTGTGGGGGGACCTTTACCTTTACCTTAGTCTAATGGAAAGAAGCATTGGGGGGGGGGACATGATAGCACTGTTCCAATATTTGAGGGGCTCCTACAAAGATGTTGGGGTCAAACTATTTTCCAAAGCACCAGAAGGCAAAATAAGAAACAATGATTGGAAACTAACCAAGGAGAGAAGCAACTTAGAACTAAGGAAAAATTTCCTAACGGTGAGAGCAATCAACCAATGAAACAACTTGCCTTCAGAAGTTGTGGGTGCTCCATCACTGAAGGCTTTCAAAAAGAGACTGGACAACCATTTGTCTGAAAGGATATAGGGCAGTGATGGCTAACCACCTTGCTGTTGCGTGCCAAAAGTGGGCGGAGCATGGGGGGTCACATGTGCGTATGCCCACACCCATAATTCAATGACCCCCCCCCCCCCCCCCCCTGCGTGTGCAACCCCCCCCCCCCCCCCCCCCCCCTTTTGACATGTGATGGCACAGTAGGCCTGGTACGCCCATTTTTCACCCTCCCCATGCTCCAGAGGCTTTCTTGGAGCCTGGGGAGGGCGAAAACGGCCTTCCCCACCCCGCCGGAGGGCCTCTGGAGACCGGAAATTGCCTGTTCCCCAACTTCCAGTGGGATTGGAAGGCCGGTTTTTTGCCCTCCCCAGGTTTCAGAGCCTTTCTAGGAGCCTGCAGAGGGCAAAAACGGCCTTTCCCCCCCCACCCGGAGGCCGGAAACAGCCCGTTTCTCAATTTCCAGTGGGCATAGAAGGCCCGAAAATCAGCTGTCAGAGCTGACGTAAGGCAACGCTCGCGTGCCCACAGATATGACTCCACGTGCCACCTGTGGCACGCGTGCCATAGATTCGCCATCACAGATATAGGGTCTCCTGCTTGAGCAAGGGGTTGGATTAGAAGACCTCCGAGGTCCCTTCCAACTATTATTCTATGTTCTCGGTAATCAATAATGTGCCATTAAGAAGGAAGCATCTCAAAAAGCTTCCAAGTTTCAGTTACATCATAACCGTTTTGAACATTTTTAGAATTATATTTTTAAAAAGATGGGATGGCTTCCGCAGGCCAGATCCTAGATCAAAATTTAAGCATTTAGAGTTTTGTCCATTTCTCTTGATACGAACAGAACGAGACTTGGCCTGTGTGCTGTGCCGATCTCTATTTAATGGCACCGTTTTTAAAAAAAATGATTTAAGAAAGCTACATGGCTACCTAACAAACACTAACTTGGGTTGGTAAGCAGTCAGCCAGTGACAAGTAAAGAATACATTTAAAAATTGTATTTGGGAATACACATTATTTTATTCTGCTTTTTTCATCATCCAAAATAAAAAAGATGAGAAAAGCTCAGCAGTCCCCAACCTTAATGGCTTGGCAGCCTGGCGGGGACGAGAAAAGGGAACTGACCTGTGTAAGCAATGCACTGGTGCGTGCATGTGTCTGCCAGCCCGCCTCGCGTAAATAGAGCTGCATGCACCGGCCCACCACTTGCACGGCCCACTTCTGAACTGGCCATGGACCAGTAATGGGCCACGTCCTGGGGTGGGCTGCTGGGGGTTCACAGGGGTTCGGGAGAACCTCTAGCTAAGATTCTGTGCAGTTTGGAGAACCCCCAAATCTGACTCCTGGCTGGCCCCGCCCACCCCACCCCTCCCAGTAGTCCCCACGTGGCCCGTTTTGGATGCAGGTAAGTGAAGAGTGCGCATGGAGGCTCGGGGAGGGCGAAAAACAAAAAAAAAAGGAGCCTTGGTGGCACAGCAGACTAAAGTGCTGTTAAGTAGCACCAGCTGCCTGCAATTACTACAAGTTCAAATCTCACCAGGCTCAAGGTTGACTCAGCCTTCCATCCTTCTGAGGTAGGTAAAATGAGGACCCGGATTGTGGGGGCAATAAGCTGACTTTGTATAAAAAAGAACACCGCTTAGGGGGGCCCGAAAGCCCTACTAAGCAGGTATATACAAAAGTATGAAGGCTATTGCTTAACGCCCTGAGTCTCCGGAAAAGGGCAGCATATAAATCGAACCAATAAATAAATAAATAAACAAACAAATAAATACGGGTTTCCGGCCTGAGGAGACCGTTTTTGCCCTCCCAGAGGCTCGAGGAAAGCCTCCAGAGCCAGGGAGGCCCCCTCCCATGGTGCAGGAGGCAGACATGGCCATGCCCACCCAGCAACTGGGCAGAGAACCCCTTGATAAAATTTTTAAAATCCAACCCTGGCCACGGCCTAGGAGTTGTGCTTCCCTGCTGTAGCTGGAACCAGCTTTTTAATTGTATCTTTTCCGTGCCTAACAAACCATTTCTATTCCTTCTTTCCACTCGTTCTTTTTCCCTGGCCTTCAGTTCATCATCGGAGAAGATGGCACCTGTGGGGTCCTTTACGAACAAGCCATCGCTGAGGGGCCACTGATTGCCACAGTCATCGATTACGTCATGGATTATTGGTAATGTCCCTTATTGGGGGAAGAAGATGAAGCTGTGGGGATAGATAGCCTGACTTGACTCCCGTGAGCAGATTTCGAACCGGTGCTACAAAAAGCGTTCAGAAAACCATAGTCCTTGAGATGCAGCTTTGAACTCAATAGCCAGTGACCAGGAATGGTAAACTCCACCCATAACTGCATGGCAGAATGAAATTTATTTATTTTTATTTATTTAATTGAATTTGTATACCGCCCTACTCCCGAAGGACTCAGGGCGGTGAACAGCCATAGAATAAAACATATAGATACAAAATTTAAAATAAACTAAAACGAATTAAATAATTTGGCTGAACAAATTTAAAACCCCAATAATTTAAAACCAAATTTAAAATTTCCATTTAAAAAGGGGAAGGACTTAGGTCAGGCCAGCTTGATGAAATAGGAAAGTCTTGAGCGCGCGACGGAAGGTACGCAGATCCGGGATCCTCCGTATCTCCAGGGGGAGCTCGTTCCAGATAGTAGGTGCCCCCACAGAAAAGGCTCTCCCCCTGGGGGCCGCCAGTCGACATTGTTTGGCCGATGGCACCCAGAGGAGCCCCTCTCTATGGGAGCGTACTGGTCGGTGGGAGGCTATTGGTGGTAGCAGGCGGTCCCGTAAATAACCAGGTCCTAAGTAAATAACATGGTCCATAAACCATGTTAAGGCTTAGTTCATGGGTATGAACCTGGCTAGAGGGATGTTGCTTTCATATAACAGATTAGTCCTTTAAAAAAAAAAAAACAATCTTTATTAAGTATAAAAAGATAAAATATCACATTAACTACATACATTATAAAATATGAAATAAAGAAAGATAAAAGAACAATAAAAACAGAAAAGAAAAAGACATAAAAAGGGAGAGACACACAAAAGAAAGAAAAGAAAAAAAGAAAAATAGAAAATACACACAATATAATAATACAAACTACAATATATATATATATATATATACGTATACGTTCTTGACGGTGTCTAGTTGTTAATTTTGTTATCTTACAAACTTTGTTTTTGATTTATCCATTCATGCTATTTGTTCCATACCATAAAATATTTCGAGTCTACCTTATCCTTTAATTCCAGTGTTAGCCTGTCCATTTTAACGCAATTGTAAATTTTTTGAATTACTAATTGTTCTCTAACAGAGTAGTCCTAAAGGTGCTTTTTCAGGTGGCAACTGGATTTCCTTGGTTTTGTTTTTTTTTTCTTTTGAAGATGTTTCGCTTCTCATCCAAGAAGCTTTTTCAGCTGCTTAAGAAGCGAAACGTCTTGAAAAGAAAAACCAGAAAGCCCAGCGGCCTTTTGCAAAAAGCATCTTTGGGGAGAATTTTAATTAGGTGCCTGTTTGTTTTAGTTTTATTAATCACATTTATATGGCCACAACTGGGAAACCTTGACTTCCGATCGTTCGGCTTGGAGGCTAAAGACGCAGCATGGCCTTCTCCAATTTGAAGAGACACTTGTTCGGCAGGCTGAGGCAAAGAGGCAATCCCGGAACCAGCGAAATCTGGGGGCTGGGCAGGGGACAGACTGTATCTGCCCTCAGTGTGGAAGGGATTGCCACTCTCAAATTGGCCTTTTTAGTCACACCAGATGCTGTTTTAGGACCTCTTTCCAGAGCACGACACCATAGTCTTTTGAGACTGAAGGATGCCAATATGGCCACCTATCTCACGAGAAGTGACTCTGGGCGTCGTGCAACCATCAGCAAAAGCAGGCCCTATATAAAAACTTATAAAAATATAAAAAGTCATTATTAAAAATGAAAACATTAAAAAAAAACTTAAAACGTGATGCATCTTTCCTCCCTTTCTTTTCCCTCAGCAAAGATCCAGTCATGACACGCAGCCCAATGATCCCTCTACAGTTACCCCAAAAACTGTATTTTTCCATCACTCCAGAAGTCAAGCGGGACCTGGAGCGTGCAAAGCAGAATCTGGATGTGTGAGTAAGCAGGGCGTGTGCTCCGGGGTGGCCGTGGCCTGTTTTGGTAGCGCACCTTGTCAGCCCCACTGAAGGGGTGGAAAACACCAGTAGTCCTCGACGTACAACAGTTCATTTAGTGACCATTCAAGGCTACAACGCCACTGAAAAAAGTGACTCTTTTTCACCCTTATGACCATTGCAGCATCCCCCAAGGTCACGTGATCAAAATTCAGACTCATATTTATGACGGTTGCAGTGTCCCGGCATCCACGGGTGGGTTCTACTTCCCTTTACTACAGGTTCCCAGCGGGGCTGCGCGCTCTTCTGCGCATGCGCAGAAGCATTTTAATGATGTCGGGTCGGTGGGCGGGGCCTCCTGGTTTTACTACCGGTTCTATAGATCCGGTGCAAGCCGGGGGCAACACACCACTGCCGGGGTCACGTGATCCCCTTTTGGGGCCTTCTGACAAGCAAAGCCAATGGGGAAACCAGATTCACTTAACAACCGGGTTACTAACATAACAACTGCAGTGGTTCACTTAACAATTGTGACAATGAAAGGTTGGGCAAAATTCACTTAACAAATGTTTCACTTAGCAACAGAAATTTTAGGCTCAATTGTGGCTGTAAGTTGAGGACTCCCTGGTTCTTTTGTTTCTTGCTCTGGAACTTTTTTTTTTCTTGATTGATTATGCACCATTAAGTCATCTTATCAATCATATAGAACAGGGGTGAAATGCTCCCGGTTCAGATCAGATTGCCTGATCCAGTAGCGATGGAGGCAGGTGGTTCAGAGAACCGGTAGCAAAAATCCCTGCCCCTCCCCATTGCCCAGCTGAGCCGCGCAATCATCAGAGGCTTTTATTTTAATTTTTTAAAGCATTTTTTCTACAACCTCTTCGGCTGAAGAGGTTATAGAAAAAATGTTTTTAAAGGGAAAAAAAGCCTCTGCCGATCAGGCAAGTCAGCTGGGATCGTCAGAGGCTTTAAAAGCATGCCCACTCAGTCATATTACCCCACCACCAAGCCACGCCCACAGAACCGGTAGTAACAAATTTTACATTTCACCACTGATATAGAGAGAGTTTTTTTTCCCCAGTCCTTCAGCTCTTCTGATAGTGCCTCCACCACCACTCTAACAACAGAGTCCATCCATCTTGGTGGTCATCTTCTCTTTTCTTCTGCCTTTCCCAACATAACCTTTGGCTCTTTTCTAGATAGATTAACAGAGTTGGAAGGGACCTTGTAGGTCATCTAGTCCAACCCCCCCCCGCCCAAGCAGGAGAACGTACCCCATTTCTGACAGATGGCAGTCCAGGGTAACCCTATCTCCCAAAAGGGTTAATTTTAGTTTTCCCTCATTTGATGGTGTTTTATTTTGTGGCTGCAGACTTCCCTCTATAATAGTTGTTTTTAATTAAAATACTGTAATGTCAAACAAATGTAATACATCTATGGGGCAGGGAGCAGGGTGGGCCTCAGGAGACGACACCATACAGTAGTGGCCAAAATTGTGGAAACCTTTTGGGAAAAGTGTATTTTCTAAAGCTAGCTAATAACACCATTTTTGGGGGGGGGAGTAGTACCATAAAATTATATATCAATGGAAAGATATTTTAATCAAGAATGTAATGCAATAACTTTTATGAAGGATTTGCTATTAGAATAGCAGTTACAGAATAAAGAAGAAAAGTGAAACACGTAGAAAAAATGAGATATACAAAAATGATCACCATAGAAAAAACGAGATATACAAAAATTATAACCATGTCAGTTAATACTTAGTTGGGGAACCTTTAAGCATGAATTACAGCCTTACAGCGTCTTCCCATGGAGTGAACCAAGTCTTTTAGTTCTGCAGCTGTTCTAATGTGAAACCAAGATTGAAGGATTGCTTCTATTAACTGAGTTTTATTGCTGGGTCGCTTCTGACTACCAAGTTTCTTTAGTTGGCTCCATAGATTTTCAATTGGGTTAAAGTCTGGGCTATTCCCAGGCCATTCTAGCAGCGGAATAGGATTATCTTGAAACACCCCCCCCCCAAAAAAAGTAGTGTTATTAGCCATCAAACCTCAAAAATACACTTTTCCCAAAAGGTTTCCACAATTTTGGCCACTACTGTAGGTATCCCATCAAGGGCCTACAGGAGAAAATTGTTTCTCTGCATCTGACACTGCATCTGCCTGAGCTCTGAGTCTCTCTCTCTTTCTCTTTCAGCCTGATCAGCGATCTGGACATCCGTTGTTTCACCTATGACGGCTTTGGGAAGGAGTTTCTCAAAAGCCAAAACTTGAGGCCTGACTCGGTCATGCAGGTAGTGCTGCAGCTGGCGCATTACAGGTGAGCTGGCAGGTGAAGTCAAAGGATGACTTGGAGAAGCGGGAGGACGAGGGTAGGATCCAGAATTTGAAACAGAAGCGTCCAATCTCGGGTGCCTGCAGATGGATTTTCAGGGGCTGCGACTAAGAGTGGTTTTGGGTATCCCTTAATCAGGGGTGGGCTTCAAAAATTTTAGCAAGGGGTTCTCTGCCCGGTTGCTGGGTGGATGTGGCCATGGTGGCATTGGCCTAGTCGGCCTCCTGCATCACAGGGAGGGGGGAGCATTTTTGCCCTCCCCAGGCTCCGGAGGCTTTCCTTGACTCTCCGGGACGGTGAAAACGGCCTCCCCAGGCTCTGGAGGCCCACAGGAGTCCAGAAACAGGCCCGTTTCTGGCCAACCTGAACTTCCAGTAGGCCCGTTTTTCGCCCTCCCCGAGCCTCTGCACACATCCTGTATTTACCTACATCCAAAACAGGCCGCTTGGGGACTCCTGGGAGGAGTGGAATGGGGTGGGGGTGGGGGCAGCCAGGAGTGGGATTTGGGGGTTCTCCAAACTGCACAAAATCTTAGCTAGAATTTCTCCCGAAATGCTTTTAAAAGCCTCTGACGATCAGGCAACTCAGCTGGGATCGTCAGAGGCTTTTAAAAGCATTTTTTCTACAACCTCTTCAGCCGATCAATCCCAGCTGAGCCGCGCGATCATCAGAGGCTTTTTTTTTAACTTTTAAAAGCATTTTTTTCAGCCGAAGAGGTTGTAGAAAAAAATGCTTTAAAATTTTTTTTAAAAAGACTCTGATGATTGCGTGCCTCAGCTGGGCATGGGGGGGAGGCAGGGATTTTTGCTACCGGTTCTCCGAACCACTGGCCGCCATCGCTACCGAATCGGGCTATCTGGTCCGAACCGGGACCATTTCACCCCTGGACTGAAGGGATGGGTTTCTAATTCCTTTATCTTAACTGTATTGCCTGAGGGAATTCAGAGTTTGCTTTTCTTTTGTCTTGTTGTCACTCCAGTTCAATAAAAGCTTCCTTTTGAAATGCTAAAGTTTCAAGAGCCTTTGCTTTCTTGAACGAGGAGGAGAGGCTGGACCTTAGGGTCACCTTCTCAGCTCAAAATTCTCACAACAACTTCACACCTGTGGATTGGCTTACCTCCGACTGGACAGAGGGAAGGGATTTCTACAACTTTTAACCTAACGGTTTTGAGTGGGAACTTCAGATCCTGCCTGTCCTCCTTGCTATCACTGTCTCCCCATAAAAGTTCCTTTTGAAATGCTGCCAGTTTCAAGAGTTCTGCTTTCTTGAGGGGACAGGAGAGACAAGTCCTTACAGAACCTGTTCACTGCGTGTGTGTGTGTGGGGGGGGTGGAATCTTCTTTTGTACCCGTAGGGTTTCTCACCTAAGGCATAGTTCCGATGGTGCACGTAGAGTGTGTATTACAACTGACCTTTTTCTCCTTTCTAGAGCACACGGGCAATTGTGTCCCACCGCAGAGACAGCTTCGCTTCGTCGCTTCCATCAGGGCCGGTCAGAAATCATACGCTCTGCTACCTCAGCTGTGCTGGCCTTTGCCCAGGCAATGGGTGATGAGAACTGCCAGGTATTCAGCTTTCCACCTTGATGCCTTGGTGGTCTTTATTTATTTATTTTTTTTAAGGTTGGGGTGACAATCCACTTCATCAAGTCCCCATTTTATTTCAACCAGAATAACAGAGTTGGAAGGGACCTTGGAGGTCTTCTAGACCAACCCCCTGCTCAGGCAGGAAACCCTATACCAGTGATGGTTAACCTTTTTGGCACCAAGTGCCGAAACTGGAGTGCATGCACGCGTGTGCAGGCCAGAGCTCCAGAAACCGGAAGAGCAGTTAGTGATGGTGCTCCTGCCCACAAAGAGGGCTCTGTGTGCCACCATCACCATCATGGCGAATAGTACCGCCAATTATTGAAAGAAATTCTACCGTGTTCCCCCACAAATAAGACCTCCCTGAATAATAAGCCCTCCCCCCCAAAATAAACCCTTCCTGGAAAATAAGCCCTCCCCGAAAATATTTAAATGCATGTGCAGCCAGTCCCTGCCATTTTCTCTGGTTAGGGTTAGGGAGACAGAGCTGGAAATCAGGTAAGACGGCAATAGAAGCCCCATCTTGCTCCACGCGCCCCAAAATAATAAGACCTCCTCAAAAATAAGGCCTAGCGCTTATTTCGGGGTTCAAAAAAAATATAAGAGAGGGTCTTATTTTCGGGGAAACACGGTACCTCATCATATTTGAGGGCCTTCAGATTCATTTCTGGATTAGTCATATGGGGTGGAATTTGATTCTGCCAATCCTGCTAGTTTCTGTATGTGGAGAAGTCCATTTTTCTCTTCAAGAAGTCTTGGCCTTGTTCTGGCCTTGGTCTTGGGACAAGTAGGAAAGTCTCTGTTACCGACAACAATCTCTTTTCCATGCATCTTGAAATTAAGAGTATAGATAGTCCTCGATTTATAACAGTAACTGGACCCAGAATTAGGGACACAAGTCATGCTAGTCATTAAACGAGTCACTACACGACCATGCCTGTTTTTACAACCTTTTTTTGTGGCGGTTACTAAGCAACTGCAGTGGTTATTAAGCGAACACAGCAGTCATTAAGTAAATCCATTGTCTGCAATGGGTGTTCTTTGCCAGAAACCAGAAGTAAACAACCATTTCCAGCAAAAAAAAATGTTGTAAATCATGGTTCCATGATTACGGGATGCTGTAAATCAGCGGTCACCAACTGGTGGTCCGTGGACCACTGGTGGTCCGCGAGAAAATTTTGGTGATCCACAGAAAAATTACTTGCATTTTTTATATTGCACTAAATCAGGGCTCCTCAAATTACGGCCCTGGGCCAGATACGTTCAATGAACGCTTGTGTTCCTGCAGAGAGTCTCCACCTTCTGGGTCTTTTTGTGTGGGTCGGAGGGGGGCAGAAATTCCAACTTGAGGTCTGCTTCAGCCTCCTGGTAAGGGGCTTTGGGCAAAGGCTGGAGGGAAGTGCCGCTGATGGCGAAGAGCTGGAGGGCCTTGTTCCAGTGGGACAGCATCATGGCCTGGAACTGGCTGTCCATCTCAGCCCGCTGAGCCTCCAGGCGCCTATACCTGGCCTTGCACTCCCGCAGGTCTTCCCTCTGCTTGGAAAGCCTATGCTCGTAGTCCTCAGTGAGGTGCTTCTATTGAGCTTCCTTCTTGGTCAGATCCAATTTGAACTGAGCTGTTTTGCCAACTCTTTCTCATGGGTGGCTGCTTAGCTCCAACAACTGCTTCCTGTTGGGGCCCTAAGGAGCCCGGGCGGGCAGGTTAATAGTAGCGAGTAGAGGCTGGCAAGGCGCCCCTCAATGTGATTGACATCGAGTCGGCCACGCCCACTCAGTCACATGACCACCTTGCCACGCCCACCCAGCTGGTCATTAGGCAGATCATATTCGTGGTCTGCGGGATTTAAAATTATGAATTTAGTGGTCCCTGAGGTTCGAAAGGTTGGTGACCCCTGCTGTAAATGACCACAAATGTGGGTTGGTTGCTCAGTGTCCTAAATATGATCATGTGACCACAGGGTGGTGGCAGCAACCATCAGAACTTCGAATTTTGATCGTAACTCAACGCTCGAGAGGTTCATCATAACTTTGAACGGGCGCTAAACCGGTTGTAAGTCAAGGACTGCCTCTATCCATGTCAACATTTAGATTTCTCTACATACAGGTAGTCCACGACTTACGGCAGTTCATTTAGCGACCGTTCAAAGTTACGACGGCACTGAAAAAAGTGACTTATGACCATTTTTCACACTTACGACCTTTGCAGCATCCCTCCATAATCACGTGATCAAAATCCAAATGCCTGTCACCTGCTTCCTATTTAGGACCGTTGCTGTGTGCCAAGGTCCTGTGGTCACCTTTTGTGATCCTTTGACAAGCAAAGTCAATTGGGGAGCCAGATTCACTTAACAACCGGTTACTAACTTATCAACTGCGGTGATTCACTTAGCAACTGTGCCATGAAATGGAGCAGAATTTATTTTATTTTATTCATATTTTATTTAATTTATGCACAGCATATGGCGAAACATGGAACGCTGTTACCTTCCCGCATGCTTAGATGTGGTACCTATTCATCTACTCGCATTTGCATGTTTTCGAACTGTTGGGTTGGCAGGAGCTGGGACAAATGATAGGAGCTCACTCTGTCTCGCAGCACTTGGGACTTGAACTGCTAAGCTATAGACCTTTAACAGTCTAAGACTCGGAATTCACTTAACAAATGCCTCACTTACCAACAGAAATGTCCAACTGCATTGTGGTCATAAATTGAGGACTACCTGTATGTTAGTAGTGAGACTTTCAATGGGTTCTTGGAAGGTTCTTCAGGGTGTATGGTCTGAAGGTTCCTGTGTCTTGCAAGCCTCTTCTGGTATCTAAAATCCACGTCTCTTTTTTTTCACTAGGCCCCTGAAAGATTATCTCTCCTGAAACAAGCAGTTGAATTCCACAGCACCCTGACAGAGCAGGTAACTTGTCTCCCGGGAGGGAGTGTTGGGTAGGAATATTTATTTTTAATGTCTTCAAGTCAGCCTTGAAGTTGGCAACGTTTTCCTTGACGACATTTTCAAAAATGGTTTGCCATTGCTGGCTTCTTATGGCTGAGAAAAAGTGACTGGCCTAAATTCAACAAGTTGGTTTCACATGTAAAGTTTTCCCCCTCCGGGTTTTACCCTGGTAGTTGTGACCGACTTTTTGGGGTGTGTGATCTCTGTTTCTTAAGCCAACGAGCCAGCACTGTGACCAGCATAATAACACGCTGCAGTGCACGGCATATGGCGAAACATGGAACGCTGTTACCTTCCCGCATGCTTAGATGTGGTACCTATTCATCTACTCGCGTTTGCATGTTTTCGAACTGTTAGGTTGGCAGGAGCTGGGACAAGTGACAGGAACTCACTCTGTCTCGCGGCACTCGGGTCTTAAACTGCTAAGCTATAGACCTTTAACAGTCTAAGACTCGGCATCCTAACCACTGAGCCACCCACCATGTCTCTTATTTCATGCACAAGGCAAGACTAGAATGTAAAGTTTTCCCTATTTTTAGCCCAACACCTTTAACCACCACGCAACTCTCCAATATGAATTGCTGACCCTCAAATCTTCAGAGTTCGCCTTGTTCTGCAGAAATAATTTTAGAACCTTAGAAATGTGAGATGTTGCCTTCTTTAGGACAATGAAGGACAGCAATATTTTTTTGGGCAAGGAAAATGGAATAAATGTTGGGAGGTTTATTTATTTATTAATGAAGTATTTGTTTACTAGTTTAGAGCTGTGTTTCTCAACTTTAGCAACTTTTAACACATGTGGATTTCAAGTCCCAGAATTCCCCCCCCTCCCAGTCAGCCATGTTGGCTAGAGAATTCTGGGAATTGAAGTCCATCCATCTTAAAGTTGCCAAGGATGAGGAACACTGGTTCAGAGGGTGCCAACTCTAAATAACTGGGTGGCTCATATTGAAGAAAAGCAAGAACAAGAAAAATAAGCAACAAATATCAAAATGTTCCACATGAGTTCAATCAGCACTGTGCCCCAAGCCCAGAGAAAAAAAACATGGTTTTTAAAGACTTTTAGGAGCCATATACATATCAGAGGATGCTGTTCCAGAAGGCAGGTGCCACAACAGAGGGAGTGTACTTCCTATGTCTGGATCAGGGGTGTCAAACTCAAGGCCCAGAGGCCGGATTTGGCCTGCGGGGTGCTTAGATCTGGCCCAGAGGGCCGCTCTGGAAACAGTGGAGGACTGGCCCGTGGTGCTTCTGCCAGCGAAAACAGGCTGCTGATCTCCGTTTTCAGCTGGGACTGCCTCCTGCAACTCTCTGCCAGTGAAAACGGAGCTCGGGAGGACTGTAAGTTCCATTTTCACAGGCTGAGGGTTGCAGGAGGCCATCCCAGCCGAAAACAGAGATCGGCAGCCCGTTTTCGCTGGCAGAGGCACCACGGGCCACCAGAGGCGCCCCGACACGAGTGATGTCAAGCTGGCCATACCCACTCCAGTACCCTGAGGTCAAATACAACCCTGATGTGGCCCTCAACGAAATCGAGTTTGACACCCCTGGTCTAGATGAATCACAGTGTTTTCTTGAAGGGGTACCAAAAGACACCCAGCCTGCTGAATTTCACTGAAAGAACAGAGGCTATAGGTAGTCCTTCCTTAATGACAGATTGCTTAGTGTCCATTCAGAATTTGCATTCATGGCTGTTTGCAATGTTCTGTGGCCATGTGATTGTGATTTTCAGTGTTGTTTTGTTGTTGTTGTTGTTTTGCAGTTTCTGGTGTTTACTTTCAGTTTCTGGCAAAAAAAAAAAAAAAGCCCATTTCCCTTTGGCTTAACATACTGTATAAAAACATCAGGTTGTTAATAAACGTGGATTAAACCAGGGATCTCCAAACTTGGCGACTTTTAAGACTTGTGGATTTCAACTCCCAGCATTCCTCAGCCAGCCATGAAAGTTGGATTCTGGGAGTTGAAGTCCACAAATCTTTATAAAGTTGCCAAGTTTGGAGACCCCCGATTTAGTGTGTGGAGCATATATGAGTTCACTCCACCTTCCAGGGATAGCTGATTTTGTGCAATGTCTTGCAGGCTCTGGATGGACAAGGCATCGACTGCCATTTGCTTGGACTGAAAATGGAGGCCATCGCGGATGGTTTCCATGTGCCCGAGCTTTTTATGGATATTTCCTACACCATGGCTTCATACTGGAAACTCTCCACAGGACAGGTACAAACAGCCTGCTCCAAATTTGTACTTCTTTGCTATATTCCTGTATTACTCAGGTTATGATATTCTCCGTACAGGTAGTCCCTGTTTGTTGACTGTCTTTGATAGCGACCATTGGCAAATACAATGATAATAAATGCTAATAAAACATTCATTTTCCCCACAACAAAAGCCAATGTGAAACTGATTAAGGCCCGGTCAGTTTCAGGAAGCAATTGTGAGACAAGGCTGCTGAAAAAAAACAGCTCAGGAAGAGATTCCTTGTTTTTAACAGGATTGGGGGGGGGGGGAAGTGATTTATGACCGTTTTTCACACTTATGACCATTACAGCATCCCCATGGTCACGTAATCAAAATTCAGACTTTTGGCAGCTGAACTCATATTTATGACAGTTGCAATCATGTGATCACTTTTTGGGACCTTCTGACCAGCAAAGTCGATGGGGAATCCAGATTCATTGAACAACAGTGTTTCTAACTTAACAACGCAATGATTCACTTAGCAACTGTGGCAAGAAAAGTCGTAAAACAAGGCAAAACTCTCTTAATGAATGTTTCACTTTTTTTTTTTACAGTCAAGTTTTTTATTTATATATAAATATTTTGAAGGCAGTGTATTGTCCAGGCATTTTGTTTTACAAAAAAAGAAAATAACAGATATACTGATAGTGATAATAATAATATGCATAATAATTATAACAATATTTATAATTATATTAATTTATGATCATAGTAATTGTACTAATATGCTTATAATTATAATAATTGTAATTATATTTTACATACATATAACAATAATCTTTCTTCATCTAACTTCTACCTCTTATCTTATCCAACCATTGATAAAACCTATTCCCACATTGAATGGTACTCTGTATCTCCTTTATCTTTCATTTTCAATGTTAATCTATCCATCTCTGCACAGTCCCAATATTTTCCGAATTATATTTTCATCTGGTGGGGTGTTCTCATTTTTCCAATATTGTGCGAATGCAATTCTCGCTGCTGTCAATACATGTAGCATCAAGTATATAGTCCCTTTATCATAGGTTTCATATACCGTATTTTTCAGAGAATAGGTCGCACTGGAATATAAGATGCATCTTAGTTTTTGGGGAGGAAAATAGGAGGGGAAATTCTCTCTACCAGGTATTCATCTGGCTAGTATCCTTAGTCTGGTCAGCTTCAGCACATTAGTTCACTGGTTTTGAGCGTGCATGCTCAAAATTTTATCCCCTGGTAGGGGATAAAAACCAGGTTCTAAAACACAGCTGATCATCAGAGGGAGCAGCAATGAGAAAAGCAGGCGAAGCTCGGAAGATCGCTTCACTTGCTAGCGCCTCGTTAGGGCTGAAAAAAAGCTTCGAAAAAGCTACATTCGGAGTATAAGACGCACCCAAATTTTCAGCCTCTTTTAGGGCGGGAAAAAGTGCGTCTTATACTCCTAAAAATATTTCACTTAACAACAGAAATTGTTGGGCTCAATTGTGGCTGTAAGTTGGAGGACTACCTGTGTTCAGATGTTTGTTTTTTTTTTACCCCACTTTCCTTTGTCTTTCAGGTCGCTTCCCGCACGGACTGCATCATGTGTTACGGGCCCCTCGTGCCTGACGGCTACGCTGTTTGCTATAACCCTTTGCCTACCCACGTTAATTTTGCCATCACCGCCTTCAATTGCTGTGAGGAAACCAATGCCACTTACTTAGCCGGAAACATCCAGAACGCCCTGGCTGATGTGAGGGCCTTGTTGGGGAACTTTGGAGAGGGCCAGCCTGAAAGGCTCTGAAAAATATTTTGAACTTCACTTCAGACTTCAATGTGACTGAGGGCGTCTCTCTAGTTTGGCCAACAGATGACCCGTCGTCGTTGCTGAGAAATCCCCAATCTCTCCCTTGCTTTCCTTTGGGCCAAAATTTGGGATGCGGCATCCATCAGCACTCCTAATCCATAATGTCCTTTGCTAGCCCTTAACAGGGTTTGTGGGGAATTGGCTGTCTTTATATAAATATATATATACATACATCTTCTAAATGCAAGATCAGATCCTAATTTATTTCCAGAATAAAGACATTTAAAATATATATATCTCTCTCTCACAGGAAAGGTGCTGAGTTAATTTCTTGTTTAGATCAGTGAAAGATTTAAAACAAAAAACAAAAATTATGACTGAGTTGCCGGTCCATTCCAAACTGACCTTTACAGCATGGTGAACTTTGATTGTGATTCTTGTTCACATTGTGCCTTACTTTAGCTGCCCCCAATTTTTTGAGCACCTAGGACCGCTACCGGGGTGGGTGGGGGGCGGGGTATAATTTCCTGAGCTACCTATCTCCTGTGCATGCGCAGATGAAACTTCACTCACTTGTGTGGCTTAGTTTCTAATGGGCCATGGCCTGGTACTGGTTTACAGCCTGGGATTTGGGGACCCCTGCCTTACATGCTTTTTCCCCAGGGGTTCTCAAACGTTTGGGGTAGGATGACCTTCTGAAACGATGAATTGATTTCTGGGTCTTCCACCCCTTAAAAGAAATTGCTTTCATTTGGGATGAGGTTTGGCAAAAGAAATAAAAGGCATCACGGTTAAAAATCTAATCTGTATCCAAAAGGGATTCTTAAACTTTGCAGGATTACAAAAGGAGGACGTGAGGAGCAATGACTTGTGGCATCTTCCATTCTGTCAACTTAGCTCTGTTTTTTGTTTGTTTGTTTGTTTTAAAAAAGTCAATCACTGTCAAGTTTCTATTCAGGATTGCAAGATCCAGGAAGAAAGATTTCCATTGACATTTTAATTTTATTTCAGATTTAATGCTGGCAAAATCAATGATGGTAAAGGGGTGTGTGTGACTGATTACCAAAAACTGAAGAAGGAAAACTTCAGCTGTCATTCATTAGCAAATTCATTAAAGCGGGATCTCTATGAATTACGTGAACTTCTTCCTGCCAATATTGCATAACTCTATGTTTCCTAAACTTTCCCCTTTGTTTGTTTTTTGCAAAAAGTTTTTTTTTTATTTTTCTCAACACACAAATTACATCTTTTTGGAACAGAGCCCTGATCCGGTCATCAATTTATACAATTTTTTATCGTCTTTAACAAGATTTCATATATTCTATTTTGCCATAATACTTATTTCTTAATCTTAAATCACCTATCTCAACTAATACCATCTTAAAAAGATTTATTCAAATTTACTTAATCAAAACAATTACCCTTCTATTAACCCCCTTAAATCTTAATTCAATTAATACCTCATAGTACATTTCACAATTCTTACCCTAAATTCTCACTATTAACAATACAGGTCACACATGTTTATATTTCAAAATCTTATTTCCGTTTCTAAAACTTCCCCATATTTATTATTACTTCATATAATGCTCATTAAATCTTTATTTCCTTATTACTTCACCAAATTTAGATCCTATCTCTAATCCCAAAAATATAGCAATTTAACATTGAAACATAGTTTTTAATTCAAATAAAACTACAATACAATTTCAATCATTTCCCACAATTCTATCTCTTTAACCATATCATTTATATAAAAACTTTCCCCTTTGTTATCCAAAACCACTTTGGATACAGATTTTGGGGACTGGTCCTAAACCCTTCCTTTCAGCACTGTCATAACTTCAAACAGTCGCTGAACGAATGGTCAAGTCCTCAAAGACTATGCAGGTAGTCCTTGATTTACGACCACAATTGAGCCCAGAATTTATGTTGCTAAGTGGGAAATTCGTTAAGTGAGTTTTGCCCCATTTTACGATTTTTCTTGCCACGGTTGCTAAGTGAATCACTGCACTGTGTTAACTTAGTAACATGGTTGTTAAGTGAATCTGGCTTCCCCATTGTCAGAACGTCATAAAAGATGATCACATAAGACACTGCAACGGTCATAAATATGAATAGGTTGTCAAGCATGTCAATCGCGTGACCGTGGGGATGCTGCAACGGTCATAAGTGTGAAAAATGATCATGTCGCTTTTTTCAGTGCCGTTGTAACTTCAAACGGTCACTAAATGAACTTTGTCAATCGAGGACTAAGACTCCTGGTGGTGCAGTTGTTAAAGTGCAGTACAGATAGTCCTCAACATACAACTGTTCATTTAGTGACTGAGCGGACACTAAATGAACTGGTGTAAGTCGAGGACTATCAGTATTATACAAGAAAAATATCACTGATCTTCATGTCGTTTTAATCGCCATTGGTAATTTCATCAATTTTCCCTTGAAAGGAAAAGTTCGGCATTTTCAAATATACACGTGTACATATATACAAAATATACAAAAGTACATGTGGCAAATGTCCCTGTTGCAATTGGGCAATATGGTTTGTGTGTTCTTACCCAAAGAAAAGTCACTTTTATCCAATATACCCCACTTTGGGAAGCATTAGTTTAACTGAAAAGCTTTACCAGATAATACATCAATTTGTTCTTCATTTGCCATATTTTGAAGCACTTTCCCCCCCCCTTTTATATTTTCTCTGGCACCTCCCTTATAAATAATTTGGGGTTCCTATTGGGATCTAGATTTCCAGTTTGTGATCTAGATTAATTGGGTAGAAATGCCCATGGAAGCATCAACAGAGCCGCGGTGGCGCAGTGGTTCGAATGCAGTACTGCAGGCAAATTCTGCCCAGTGTCAGGCGTTCGATTCTGACCAGCTCAAGGTTGACTCAGTCTCCCATCCTTCCAGGTTGGTAAACTGAGGAGCCAAATTGTTGGGAGCAATAGGCTGACTCTGTAAACCTCTTAGAGAGGGTTGTAAGGGAGCAGCCCCCAACCCGTTGAGCACCTGAGACCAGTTCCACGGACTGGAGGGGGCATGGTTGCTGCCTGCATCCTGCAGATGTGGCTTTGCTTGCTTGTGCGGCCTAGTTTCTGGCATGCCACGATTCAGTGCCAGTCCACGGTGGTTTGGGGACTCCCGCTGTAAAGCACTATGAAGCGGTATATATGTCTTAAGTGCTATTGCTATCTGGGATACGAGTGTGTACTTCTGACCCCTCACAGGACGGTAATTAGGAGCTGGGTTATAATATCAATATCCTGTCCGTCATCTGATGTAAATTGTGACTTGGCAAAGCTTTTCTCGGATTTCTCGGCCCTGCTGCTTGAGATTCTGCAAGATTTGAGCACTTTCGTCTTTTTTTTTTTTTTAATTTGATTTATATGCCGCCCTTCTCCGAAGACTCAGGGCGGCTTACAATGCGTTAAGCAATAGCCTTCATACTTTTGTATATTTATACAAAGTCAGCTTATTGCCCCCACAAACTGGGTCCTTAATTTACCTACCTTAGAAAGGATGGAAGGCTGAGTCAACCTTGAGCCTGGTGAGATTTGAACTTGCAGTAATTGCAGGTAGCTGATGTTAATAACAGTGCTTTAGTCTGCTGCGTTACCAGGGCTCTCTGAAGGAGAGAAAGGGCTCCAGTGAGGGCAAAGAAATTGCATGAGATTTGGCAACATTTTAAATGATGTTAAATGTTTCCTCACCCCGCCCCCCACCCCCAAAAATATTATTTTAGAAGTCCATAGGCAACACCTAGAGGTGTTTGAGGGGAACTGGCATTTGGGGTTCCTGCTCTCTGCTCTGATCAACGGAGCCACAGTCTCCCAAGGCGTCCTGTTCTGACATTTTCTGTCCTGTTCTGACATTTTCTGCTGCCTTTCTCAGAAGAAGAAAAACAAACAAGAAGCCATCTTTGGAGTAACCCCCAAGCTCTTGTAGGGACATTGAGCCTGTCTGTTCAGCTGCAATCTATTGGGGAGAACCTGCTAAAACGTATCTTGGTTAACAGCCTGGAATTGAGATGGTGATAGATGTAGAATCAAAAAAAATAAAAATAAAATAGAATTTTTATTTTTTATTTTTTTTGTCTGCCTTCAAGTCAAATCTTGATTCTTGGCAACTTGGCATGGAGAGGTTCATGCCGTTTCCTAGGTAACGTTGCAGAAGTGATTTGCCACTTCCTTCTGGGATATAGATAGATAGATAGATAGATAGATAGATAGATAGATAGATAGATGGATGGATGGATGGATGGATGGATGGATGGATAGATAGATAGATAGATAGATAGATAGATAGATAGATAGATAGATAGATAGATATAGATAGATAGATTCTTCAATTAGGACTGAGAGTGGGTGAATGCCCAGAGTCCCCTAGCTCAGGGGTGGGCAACTGTGGCCCTTTTACAACCTGTGGACTTCAACTCCCAGTGTTGCAGGAAAAGAAACGGGACCAGGCCAAGCTCTTCAATGCAGGAAAGAGTTTATTGTGCACTGTTCAAACAGCCCAAAGGCAAACAAAAGTTTGAACCCCGATGGCTTCTTCGGGCCATGTATTTATACAATTTAAAGGCAGAGTCATTACAGAGAGTGATACATTTCACACGTAGAAGCTGCCCTTTCATCTATCTCTAAGAAAGGAAATAACAATCCTCTTCTCACATACTCAGGTTTTCTGCTCCGGAGCTCAAGACATAACAAAGGGAGATAAGAGGCTTGGAGACGCCTCAAGAGCAGTAAAGGAAGCAGCACTTCTTATCTAGGGATATACATGACATTTGGGATGCAATAAACATTAAACAGCAGAATGTATCTGTTTAGGGTCAGTTTGCCCTTTTACAATTCTGTACCTACGTCAAATACCTTTTGCCAGCTTAGCACCTTGGCACGGAAGAGGCAGTTCTGTCTTGACCAAAGATTTAGAATGATAATATTTGAATTTTGTCCCAATATCGGATCTTAGCTTAGCTCACCAGAATTCCTGAGATAGCTCAGGAATTCTGGGAGTTGAAGTCCACAGGTTGTAAAAGGGCCACAGTTGCCCACCCCTGCCCTAGCTGTCTATGTCCAGAGTCCCCTAACTTCCACAGCTGAGAGAGGTCTAGATTAGTGATGGCGAACCTATGGCATGTGTGCCGGAAACGGCACGCAGAGCCATCTCTCCAGGCACGCCAGCCGCTGCCCGTTGCTCTTCCAGGTTTGGTCAGCTGGTTAATGTGTGTGTGGGAACGACAGAAACCGGAACAGAAGCTTCCTGGTCCGAATGTGCACGCCGGGAAGCTGGTCTTCCGGTTTTTGGTGTGCGCATGTGCGCCGGCCAGCTGGTCTTTGCATGCATATGCGCATGTGTACCAGAAACGGGAAGACATTTAGCAACTGATTCATATTTATGATGGTTGTGGTGTCCTGTGACCTTCTGACAAACCAAGTCAATGGGGAAGCCAGATTCACTTCACAAAAGATATTACTAACTGCAGTGATTCACTTAACAACTGTGGCAGGAAAGGTCGTAAAAGGGGCCAAAATTCACTTAACAACTGTCTCGCTTAGCAGCAGAAAATTGGGGCTCAATTGTGGTCATACGTCGAGGACACTACCCGTCTTGTCATAAGTCAAGGACTATCTGTAGACCATTCTGGGTCTTGGGATGAGAGGTTGGCTTAAGAGTTTCCCAGGGAGTTTCTGTGCTCTCGGGGACAACTATGACCTGGGTCTCCCCATTCCTCCTTCAGCAACTTCACTCCTACCACACCCTGACTCTCATGAACAAAGTTAAAGTGGAGAGAATCGGAGCTTCCACTAGCCAATTAAGGAAGTAGAACATTTCTCAAAGAAGAACGAAACAAGACAATGCCGTAGGTCCAGTGTTGGTGAACCTTTTCGGCACCAAGTACCGAAACGGGTGTGTGCGCACAGGGGAGCACCGGAAAGGAGAAGAGCAGCTCCCTGGCGCGCATGCACAGGAGTGCAGGAAACTAGAAGAGCAGTTCCACCTCACGCATACACACTCCAGGAAGCTGAGCTTCCGGTTTCCGGTGCACGCATGTGTTCTAGTCACCTGATCTTCCAGTTTCTGGTGTGCATGCACATGCGAAGACCAGCTGGCCAGCACGCATGCACGCAC